GCTAGACTAAGGAAAAACACAAAGAAGACCCAAATAAAATCAGATGTGAAATAGGAAACATTGCAACTGACACTGCAGAAATTCAAGGGATCATTAGTGGCTATTATGAGCAACTATATGCCAGTAAATTGGAAAATCTAGAATAAGTGGATAAACTCCTAAACACGTTCAGCCTACCAAGATCAAACCATGAAGAAATCCAAAACCTGAACAGACCAATAACAAATAATGAGATAAAAATTATAATAAAAAGTCTCCCAGCAAAGAAAAGCCCAGGACTCAATGGCTTAACTGCTGAATTTTACCAAACATTTAATCAAAGAACAACTACCAGTTCTACTGTATTCAGAAAATAGAGGAGAGAATACTTCCAAACTGATTCTACAGAGCCAGTATTACACTGATACAAAACCAATGACATATCAAAAAAAGAAAACTACAGGCCAATATCACTGATGAATATTGATGCAAAAAAAATCTCAAAATACTAGCAAACCAAATTCAACAACACATTAGCAAGGTCATTCATCATGGCCAAGTGGGATTTATCCCAGGGATGCAAGGATAGTTCAACATATACAAATCAATACATACGATACATCATATCAACAGAGTGAAGCACAATACCATGTGAACATTTCAATTAATGCTGAAAAAGCATTTGATAAAAATTCAACATCCCTTCTTGATAAAACCCCTCAAAAAATAGGTATAGAAGGAACATGTTTCAGTATAATAAAAGCCATATACTACAGACCCATAGCCAGCATCCTACTGAATGAAGAAAAACTGAAAGTCTGTTAAGATCAGGAACATGACAAGGATGCCCACTTTTACCACTCTTCTTTACCATAGTATTGGAAATTCTGACTAGAGCAATCAGAAAAGAGAAAGAAATAAAGAGCACTCAAACTGAAGAAAAACAAGAAGCCAAATTATCCTTGTTTGCAGGTGACATGATGTTATATTTGGAGGTCCTAAATACTCCACCAAAAAACTATTTGAAGTGATAAATTCAGTAAAGTGGCAGAATACAAAATTAACATGAAAAAATCAGTAGCATTTCTGTATCCCAACAGTGAACAATCTGAAAAAGAAATCAAGAAAGCAATCCCATTTATAATAGCTACAAATAAAATAAAATACCTAGGAATTAACCAAAGAAGTGTAAGATCTTTATGATGAAAACTGTAAAACACTGGTGCAAGAAATGGAAGAGAGCACAAATAAATGGAAAGGTATTCCACGTTCATGGATTGGGAGAGTCGATATTATTAAAAATGTCCTTATTACCCAAACCAAACTACAGGTTTAGTGCAATTCCTATCAAAATACCAATGACATACTTCACAGGAATAGAAAAAAATATAGTGAAATTTATGTAGAACTAAATAATAGCCATAGCAATCCTAAGCTAAAAGAACAAAACTGGAGGGATCACATTACCTGACTTCAAATTATATTGCAGAGTTATAATAACCAAAACAGCACGACATAAAAACAGACACATGAACCAGTGGAACAAAATAGAGAACCCGGAAACAAACCCACACACCTACAGTGAACTCATTTTTATCAAAGGTGCCAAGAGCATACACTGGGGAAATAACAGTCTCTTCAATAAATGGTGCTGGGAAACTGGATGTCCATGTGCAGGAGAATGAAAGTAGACCCCTCTTTCTCACCTTATGCAAAAATTAAGTCCAAATGGATTGAAGACTTAAATCTAAGACCTCAAATTATAAAACTACTAAAAAAAAAAATTGGGAAAAATCTCCAGGAAAATTAGAGGGGCAAAGATTTCTTGAGTAATACCAGACAAGCATAGGCAACCAAGGCAAAAATGGACAATGGGATCACATCAAGTTTAAAAGCTTCTGCACAACAAAAGAAACAATCAGTAAAGTGAAAAGACAACCCACAGAATGGGAGAAAATATTTGCAAACTACCCATCTGACAAAGGATTAATAACCGGAATATATAAGGAGCTCAGACAACTCAGAGGAAAATAATAATTTGATTAACAAATGGGCAAAAGATCTGAATAGCCATTTCTTAAAAGAAGACATACAAATGGCGAGCAGGTATATAAAAGATGCTGAACATCATTGATCATCAGAGAAATGCAAATTAAAACTACAATGAGATGTTATCTCACCCTAGTTAAAATGGTTTTTATCCGAAAGGCAGTAATAAATGTGGAGAAAAGGGAACCCTTTTACGCTGTCGGTGGGAATGTAAATTAACACAGCCACTATAGAGAACAGTTTGAGGGTCCTCAAAAACCTAAAAATAGAACTATTATACAATACAGCAATCCTACCGCTGGGTATATACCCAAAAGAAAGGAAATTTGTATATAGAAGAGTTGTCTGCACTCCCATGTTTGTTGTATCCCTGCTCACAATAGCCAAGATTTGTAAGCAGCCTAAGTGTTCATCAGCAGATGAACAGATAGAGAAAATGTGGTACATATACACAATGGGGCAGTATTCAGCCATAAAAAAATAATGAGATTCAGTCATTTGCAACAACATGGATGGAACTGGACGTTATTATATTAAGTGAAATAAGCCAAGCCCAGAAGGATAAACTTTGCACATTCTCACTTATTTGTGGGATCTGAAAATCCAAACAATTGAAATTATGGAGACAGAGAGTAGAAGGATGGTTACCAGAGGCCAGAAAGGGTAATAAGCCGATGTTGGGGGGAAATAGGGATAGTTAACGGGGACAAAAAATAGAAAGAATGAGTAAGACCTAGCATTTGATAGCACAACAGGCTGACGACAGTCAAAAATAATTTAAACATACATGAAAAATAACTAAAATACTATAATTGGATTGTTTGCAACACAAAGGATAAATGCTTGAGGGGATGGATACCCCATTTACCCTGGTGTGATTATTACACATTGCATGTTTGTATCAAAATATGTACCCATAAATATATATACCTACTGTGTACCTATGAAAATTTTAAAAATGTGTAATAGGCCTCAGTAAGACTCTCAGTAATCATCTGCAAACTTAGTAGGTGGATTGAGGCCATCCAGCTTAGTCATCTATTTAACAACTAATCTTTGAGTTCATGATATTGTTGTATGTTGACTTTTAGCATAATTATCCCTATAAGCTGCACTTCTCAGCAAAAGTCATTTTTAAGGGATTTGTTCACTTTCCGTTTTTTTCAGTTGTCTTTCTAATGTATCAGTCAGTGGAAATATTTTTTCAAATATTAATTTACTCACCTTTTTCCTTGATCTATAACGGATTTAAGATGATATACTTAGTATATTATAGATGAATGTTAATGGAAGATCTGATACTTGTGTGGGTGTGTGTTTTGTATTTATATAGCCATTAGGTTGACAAGTGTGTTCTGTGTCATTATGGAATTGTCCTCTTTGCAAAATGAGAGTTTTCTTTTTTCAGTTGTATTCAACAGATTACAAGTACTATGATAATTTCTAACCATCAAGTAAAATAATTTAAAAATTGACTAGAAATGCAAACCACTTTTACACCATTTTAAGTCTTACTTACTATAAAGATCTCCAAAGCAATACATTCAGTAAAACTCAGGTTCCTCTTGTAATCCTGTAACATCCTTAAGTATGCATTGGGAAGACGACTGGTTTACCAAGCTTGATTCAAACATCGTGGGTTACAACACTTAAATTTGCTTACAGTCTCATAAGGTAAGGTGGTGAGAAGATATGGGGGGAACCAGCCCCAAGTATTTTAATGTAGGTTCTTTTCTATTTTCCCTAAGTGTTGGCCAGTCTGAGAAACAAAGGGAAAGAGTACAAAAGTGAGAAATTTTAAAGCTGGGTGTCCGGGGAGACATCACTTGTTGGCTCTGTGATGCCCCCTGAGCCGCAAAACCAGCAGGTTTTTATTAGCAGTTTTCAAAGGGGAGGGAGTTTACGAATAGGGTGTGGGTCACAGAGATCACATGCTTCACAAGACAATAAAATATCACAAGGCAAATGGGGGCGGAGTGAGATCGAGGACCAAGGCGAAATTAGAATTGCTGATGAAGTTTCATGTCCCGCTGTGCATGCATTGTCATTGATAAGCATCTTAACAGGAAACAGGGTTCAAGAGCAGAGAACTGGTCTGACTAAAATTTGAAATTCCTGACTAGGCAGGAATTTCCTAATCCTGGTAAGCCTGGGGGCGCTGCAGGAGACTAGGGCATATTTCATCCCGTATCTACAACTGCATAAGACAGACAGTCCCGGAGCGGCCATTTTAGAGACCTCCCGCTGGGACTGCATTCTCTTTCCCAGGGCTATTCTTTGCTGAGAAAAAGATTTCAGTGACATTTCTCCCATTTGCTTTTGCAAGAAGAGAAATATGTCTTTGTTCTGCCCAGCCCCGCAGGCGGTCAGGCCTCATGGTTATCTCCCTTGTTCCCTGAAAATCGCAGTTATCCTGTTCTTTTTGGATACCCAGATTTCATGTTGTTCATACACACATGTTTTACAAACAATTTGTGCAGTTAACACAGTCATCACAGGGTCCTGAGGCGACCTACATCCTCAGTTTATAAAGATGATGGGATTAAGAGATTAAAGACAGGCATAGGAAACCACAAGAGTAATGATTGGGGAAGTGATAAATGTCCATGAAATCTTCACAATTTATTTTCAGAGATTGCAGTAAAGACAGGCATAAGAAATTATAAAAGTATTAATTTGGGGAACTAATAAATGTCCATGAAACCTTCAAAATTTATGTTCTTCTGCCATGGCTTCAGCCAGTCCCTCTGTTCAGGGTCCCTGACTTCCCTCAACAAGAAGAAAGTACAAAATTATGATGTTATTTATAATACAACTCTTAGCTAAACTTCTGCTGAAATTTCCTAAAGATTATAAGGTATGTTTATAATAGATTATCTTGCTGTCAGCCTCTTGAGATATGCTTCTTTTTATGCTAAGTAAAATGTAACCTCTTGCCACAACTCAGATCTTTTCTCTTTATTGATTTCTAGTGTCTAAAAAGCACGGCAAGCTCATTACGTTCTTACGAACATTCATGAAGTCTCGTCCAACAAAACAGAAGCTGAAGCAGCGGGGAATCTTGAAAGAGAGGGTGTTTGGTTGTGACCTGGGGGAGCACCTTCTAAATTCTGGTTTTGAAGGTAAAAATAAAATGTGCAAGCTTAATACTTTGAGTTTCTGACCTCTCCATATTGGTTCTCTATGACCAATTATGGAGTAGATTTAGGCAAATGATTTAGGCAAATGTTTCATTTCAGTTCAATGCAGGTATTACTCTTTCTCAGGTACTCAGTTCTGGGTGGAGCTGAGAATGAAAAGTCTACGAATGCACTTTGGCATCAGAGATGCTCATGTTCTGTTCCAGAAGAGTAGAACATTCACACGAAATATATTACAACCACCCTGTTATTTTGCCTTACTTTCTATTTCTCGCTAGATAGCTTCTTCAGCCAGTTTTGCCACCCACATTTTATCCTAAAATATTTATCTAATTATTCTTATGGAAAAAAAGCTGTCATAGTTTTGAGACATAAAATGCCAAAATCAATCTTCCAATTTTTTTGTTTTTAAAAAGACAGGGCCTTGCTTTGTCGCCCAAGCTGGAGTGCAGTGGCGTGATCATAGCTGACTGCAGCCTTGAATTCCTGGGCTCAGGCAGTCCTCCCAGAGTAGCTGGGACTACAGGCATGTGCCACTACACCTGGCTCATTTTTATTTTTCATTTTATTTTTTGTAGAGAATCTGTATTTTATTTTTTGTAGGAATCCATATTCCTTTCTTTATAAATTAAATTATGAATCAAGAATTTAGTTGTTGGATGGTGGGATGGATAGGAGGGGAAAAAAAAAAGGAGTTTTCCTTTTATATTTTAAAATAGCACTTTCCTCCAGCATCTCCTTCAGAAATGCCAGAAGATGAAGGCAGGATCTACCTATGATGTTGTTAAACACCAGAAATAGGTGATTGTGAAATTCCAAATTAGTATGGGAAATACCCATTGTGCCTTTTGAGAAGACCATTAGTGAAAAACAATGGTAAAGTAATACTAATAATACTGAATTGATAGTATCAAGTTCAAATTAAGGTCTTACTCATTGTTAAAAGAATATCAATGGACTTAGGAATTTAATGCAAACTGTACCATGTTTCTTGAACGAGTAGACAAAATGTTATTTCAAACAGATGTTATTCCCAAATTAATACCAACTTAATGCAGATCCCTAAAAAACAAAAACAAAAGAAAAAACCCCTGAGGATTACTTTTGCAGCTAAATGCACATGGAAAACTCAACCAGTGACAATGTCAAAAAAAAAAAAAATCAGTGATAGGATGGGAGTTTTACTAGTTTTACTATATATTAAAACAATACTCAAAACTAGAAAAGCAGAGTTTTCACTGTGTGTGGTAGCGCATGCCTGCAATCCCAGCACTTTGGGAGTCTGAGGCAGGCAGATAGCTTGAGCCTAGGAGTTCGAGATCAGCCTATACAACATGGCAAGACCTGGTCTCTACCAGAAATACAAAAACTAGCCAGCGTAGTAGTATGCAGCTGTAATCCCAGTTACTTGGAGGCCGAGGTGGGAGAATCACCTGAGATTGGGAGGCAGGGGTTGCAGTAAGCTGATTTCATGCCACCGCACTCCAGCCTGGGTGACAGAGCAAGACCTTGTCTCAAAAAACAAAAGAACAAAACTTTTTTTAAAGGCAGAGTTTTGTGCAGAGAATGAAATGTGAGTGAAACAGCTTAGAGTGTTCAGGAATAGTTGTTACTATACATAAGAATCCATTGTGAAAAAAGTATGGTTTTAGAACCATGTCACATGGAAGAGCTATTTATAATACATATTGAGATAATTAAATAGCAGTTTTGAAAAAAATTCACACTTCATCATACTGAAAATAAACTTCAAATGTATAAGTTAACCATTTTAAACTTATAAAATTGCCAATGTGAACTGATTTTGTTTTGAGATAAAATAGCTTTCTCAAATTTAAACAAAAAACATAAAGAGATGCCTATATATATAACATATATATATACACACACACACACACACTTTTCATATAATGAAAAATAGCAATGTAGAGGGAGAGGTACCGTAGACCAGGAAATATAATCATTTTTTGGATATGATGAAATGCTGCTATTATAGTGTATGAGAATATCGTTTCAGATTTTTTAGAAAATTAAAGTTCCTGAGTAAAAGAATGGAGAAAAGATACAAACATTACACAGAAAAATGTTTATCGTTATGTGTAATCATGGAAATGTATCTTTAGGCAATTTTGAAATACCATTTTACTTTGGTAAATATTAAAATAACAAAGCTATTTTTCTAAATTATGATATCCAGTGCCATAAATATAGCAGTGATTTTTGCCAGTAGGTTCAGAATCGTTGGTTTCAGGAAGTTCTGAGTTAGCACTACCTTTTTGGAAAACATTTGACATTTCATAGCAAGACACTTTATAGTGTTCCTTTCATCTAACGAATCCATCCTTAGGGACTTATCTTAATGTTATAATTAAATAGAAATAAAAGTGTTCATCATAGCATAATGTATGAGAACAAAGAAAATGAAATACCCAACTTTGGGAGAATGTTCTTTTTTGAAATGGGGTTTCACTCTGTCATCCAGACTGGAGTGCAGTGGCACAATCTCAGCTCACTGCAACCTCTGCCTCCTGGGCTCAAGCTGTCCTCCTGCCTCAGCTTCCTGAATAGCTGGGACTATAGGCATGCACCACCACACCCAGCTAATTTTTGTATTTTTTTTGTAGAGGTGGGATTTTGCCATGTTAGCCAGGCTGATCTCGAACTCCTGGACTTAAGCGATCCACCCACCTCGGCCTCCCAAAATGCTGGGATTACAGGCATGAGCCACCACACCCATACAGGGGAATGTTGTATAAATGCTGAAGCTATTAAAAATTTTAAGTTTGGGCTGGGTGAGATGGCTTATGCCTGTTATCCTAGTATTTTGGGAGGCCAAGGTAGGAGGATCGCTGGAGGCCAGGAGTTTACACCAGCCTAGGCAGCATAGCAAAACCCCATTTATACAGGAAAAAAAAAAACCAAAACGAGCTGTGCATGGTGGCACACACTCGTACTCTTAGCTAGTTCAGAGGCTGAGGTCAGGGGATTGCTGGACCCCAGAAGTTGGAGACTACAGTAAGCTATCATCCTGCCACTGCACTCCAGCCTGGGCAACAGGGCAAAACCCTGTCTCTAAATAAATAAATAAGTTTGAATACAATGTAGGAACCTGAAAAATATTATCTATAAATAGTAGATACAACTTTTGAAAGTCTGGATACTTAGGTGATATGAAAAATGAATATAATTATAGTAAAGTATTAGAGAATATTGTTTAGGTTTTTTTTTCTTAGTTGTCTTGCTTTTTCAATTAAAAAAATTAGAGGAATATTGGAAATGAATTTAATAATCCTGGAAGATTAATCCCTCTTTGCCAAGTTAAACTCAAATGACTAGAAAAAAAATTAACTTATGACATTAAAGTGTAATTGAAATTCAGTAAACCTTAGGAGCCAGAAGCCTCGAAGACCGAGGTCAGATATATTATACTTGGCATATTAAAATAATTTCCTGTTTCATCAGGGTTGATAATAAATGAATAAATATTCATAAGAAGGATATTCATTTGAATATTCACATGAAACCTAAATTAGCAGGAGAAGGGAAACCTTTGAAGTTTATTAACTAAAATTTTAATTAGGAAATAAAACTTTTTAAATAGCCAAGTGATTTAGTAGTTTGTCTTTGATTTAATGAATATATGAGGAATTTCAGTTTTTTCTGATTTTAAGACTTCATAGGGAGCTGGGTGTGGTGGCTCATGCCTGTAATCTTAGCTCTTTGGGGAGCCAAGATGGGAAGAGCACCTGAGCCTAGGAGTTTGAGACCAGCCTGGGAAACATGGCATGTTTAATGCCCTGTAACATGTTAAACCTTGCTTAGATGTGATCATTAATATGAAAAAGAGGCCTGGCGTGGTGGCTTACTCCTATAATCCCAGCACTTTGGGAGGCCGAGACAGGCAGATCACCTGAGGTCAGGCGTTCAAGACCATCCTGGCCAATATGGTGAAATCCTGTCTCTACTAAAAATACAAAATTTGGCTGGGCATGGTGGCATATGCCTGTAATCCTAGCTACTCAGGAGGCTGAGGCAGGAGAGATTGCTTGAACCTGGGAGGTAGAGGTTGCAGTGAGCCAAGATCTCACCATCACGTCTGGGTGACAAGAGCAAGACTCCATCTCAAAAAAAAAGAAAAAGAAATTGAAAGAGCGTTTTCCAGTTTGTCCTGCCATGCTCATTAGCTTTCAAATATCAATTCAATTTTAGTTGTACTTAGAAGTTTCAGTTATGTTTCCATTCTTCATAAGGTTGATAGGGGAGGACAGAGGCTATTAAATCACTTATTTCTGAAAAGTAGCAGGTTAAACTACAGTATTCATCTGTTGCCTAATTATGATAAAAGCTATTTGAGTGGAACAGTGTTTTGGTATCATTGATTTTTTTTTGTAGAGACACTGTCTTTACAAAAAAATTTTTTAAATTAGCTGAGCATGGTGGCACGTGCCTGTGGTTCCAGCTACTTGAGAAGTTGAGGTGGGAGGATCTCGTGAGCCCAGGAGGTCCAGGATGCAGTGAGCCATGATCACACCATGGCACTCCAGCCTGGGCAACAGAATGAGACCCTATCTCAAAAAAAAAAAAAAAAAAAAAAGACTTCATATGTATTGTCACATGGCCTATAACCACAGTTATACCATATGTGTGTATATATTTACACATACATACATAGAGAGAGGGAGAGACTATTTTAAAGTCTAAAACAATTAGAATTGAATATGTATTTTAAACTCTAAAATAATTAGAAAAAAATGAAGAAAAAATGATTACATAATTGTGAGGAGAGATGAGACACATACAGTGTATATAATATTGATATGTATCATAGAATTGTCTTTCTCAAAGTTTAGACTTTAACATAGTGTCTGTACCCTAAACAAAATTAACCTTGCACTAGATTTTTCTGAGAAGGAAGCTCATATCAAAATTACATTTTATGTGCTTGCTTCAACAGCACATATACTAAAATTTGAACAATACAG